AATCTCTCTATCTTCAAATTTTAACTAATTCACTTCTAATAATTAAAAATCTTTTAAGAAGTTTTTTTTTTTGCCGCAAATTTACTTTAGAGAGAAAAGAGAGAAGTATTATTTATTACCTCGCATTTTCTTTTAACAATTATTTTATAATTCATTTTTATCAATTTTATTTAAATATTATGTTTACCTAATTTTTATTTCGGACCCATATCTAAAAATTCACCCGCCATCCTGTTCCACCCTGTTACTTTCTGGAAGCCCCGTTTTGTATCCTGTTCATGAAAAGTGCCATTGACTGTGTTAACACTGTACCCTGCTCATACTGCTGTCCAGAGGTTTGTGCTCGGTCATGAACTCATCCAGGAAGACTTTGAAGGTGTTGACCCAAACTTTCACCGGTGACTCGTTCCAGTCCCTCTGCTCCTGACGCATGCTTTTCTCCAGGATTTGCTCAAAGAGGGCGTAGAGATCCTTATAACGAATGCTTTTCCCATCGTCCATCTGCACACAGAGCAAAAACAATATATCTGTTTCTGACATAATGTCCTAACCAGGCACAATGTGACAACAAGCAATACATCACATCTCTTAAGGGACGATCACACTCACATTCTTTTGCAAAGACAAAACCAAATGTCCTACATTTTTTATGGCAATATGAATAATTTTTCGGGTGATAACAGTAAAACAAATGCTTTATAAAGGTACTTACAGCTAAAGCTGTTGAGTACGAGTTGAAGATATTCAAGCGGAACTCCTTTAGGGCCTTTTTGAAGACAACATCCACCATAGTGTCTTTCTTACTATCTTCTGTGTCTAAATCAGTAATCTGTGAGATTAAAACAAGGTTATGAAGACTTCTTCTCATCAATAAGTGAATACAACTGTAGTAAATTCAAGTAGAAAACAGTCATCACCTTCTTCATGAGAAAGTCATTCATGCTCCTGTAGTCACTGGCACATGTGAGTATCTGCAGGGCATCGTTCTGCCACTGGACGGGCTCCAGAGCCACACTGCTGATCTTCACACTCCGTCTGCGCTTCACTTTAGGGGACGGGTCTTTATTCTCTTTAAACTCCCTCTGTAATGTTAGGTCTGGACTTTGAGGAGGGGTCAGTCGCTCTACCCCTGAATAAACAGAATGGCAGTGTTTTCATGACCAAAAGAGTTCTTCAAATCTCATTATACTTGAAACATTTTAATTGAGGTTTTTTTTTTTTTGTCAACTCACCGATGGTTTTATACATGCTCTTCTGCTCTTCATTGGCTGTGGCCGGCTGAAAGAGATCATTACATATATTATGCAAGAGCAAAGATCTCTAACTGACAGTTATTGGCAAGGTTTGTCTGTCAAAACCTTCTATAGCACAATATAAGCCGTTAAATGGACACTTTGCCTTTTCCTTTCACTTCAGCCACTATTTTCCGGTAGGTAGTGTCAGTTTAAAACATTTACAATGGGCACAAAGAGTAAGAACATGTGTTGCTCCTTAACATAGTCTGAAAGCACTAAGTGGTTAAATTAATTTCTTCTACAACACTAATGCACTAAAACTAACCAGTGGCACCACAATGAAAGTGCACTTTAAAGATAGCATATGACTACAAAAAGTAAATCTCTTAACTTTTAAAAACAAAAAACAAACAAATAAAAAAAGAACACCCTGAATAAACAGAATGGCAGTGCTTTCATGACCAAAAGAGTTCTTCAAAACTCAATATACTTGAAACATTTTAATGAAGCCGTTTTTCTGACGACTCACCCTCTTCCATTAGAAGTGCTGTTTCAGCATAGTCTCCTTCCAAAGTATCACTGCCACACAGCAGCCGTTCTCGCGAGGTTTTCTTCTCTCCATGCCTTGCCTTTCCCCAAAATCGCATTTTAGTGCGAACCCTGCAGACAACACATGTTGACAAGGACAGCAATCGTTTTAAAGGAATGGATCGTCCCAATACTTACATTTTATTTCATTTACTTTATGTTCCAGACCCACATTTTCTTTCTTAGACACAAAAATTCTATGTGTGAAAAACAGCCTGAAAAACCAGCAGTGAGGAGTCTAACTCTAGGGTGCTTTTTTGTCCTTTTTTAGGAAAAGAAA